TTGAGTAAATTACGTGTAGATTTAACATCCGTGGGCATTTCATTCGTACACACTGAAATAAATATGACATTAACATTAGCTTCATATTAGAGAAGAAAAATAATTAATAAGAAACTAGAACCCAATTAATGGTACCAACAGCCCGAAATGATATACCGTTTTAGTGAATATTCCCAAATTATGAAGGTAAAGCTTTCAATTGTTACTTAGTAATTAGCTGTAAGAGGCATGTAAAACAGGAATAAAAGAGATCATTTTAAACGTGTTATTGAGGCTTTCATGAACCGATGAAATGTCTGATGAAGTACGTTAACAACCTACTTCAAAACCAGGCACACACTAACCATCTGACCAACTTTTACAGATTATGGAAAGCCGTGACCGGTGGAGCCAATTAATGGGAAGTGAAGCAGATGCCAACTGAAGTCCTTGGTGGATAGCAACACTATATCTTAAACTGACAGAAATATGAAACTGGATCATCGATCTCCGACTCAGTGGATGGATGATTACTGCGTTCGCCGTGAAACCCGAATGTCCTGAATTCGGTCCCTGGCAGGGTCGTAAAAATAAAATCGCCATAAATCTCAAACGAATATCTAGAGAATTTCAAAGGTGTAAGTGGTGAACTTTGGGTGATAACAAAGCGAATAAGACATATGTAAAACTGCGTAAAGCAATTGTTAACACTGAAAATGGGTTAGCCTATTAAACATAATAGGCTCAAGCCCAGGCAACAATGAACCTGGTAAACGAAAGAGGTATTATTCACGGTGCCAAATAGACATAATACTAAACGAGGTCACATGAAGACCGAAATTAATTTTGACATCCTAAAATAGATTGGAATATAGTAACTAGGCGCATTAATACTACTGATTATCGTGATGTAAACAATAATGGAGGGAAGACATAACTAAAGATGCCTTTGCAAACGCAGACATATATATATATATATATATATATATATATATATATATATATATATATATATATATATATATATATATACAGGTAAACAGACGAGCCAATTCTATTTACATATGCTTATATATGAAAACATACTACGTTGAAACCATTTTGTGTATTTACCAACACACCTAGCTATACAATAAATGTATACAACTTTAGATAATTTATGAATTATATCCATAAAAGTATGCATTTTGCATGATGTAACATCTATGCTGCTGTCCACCCCAAGCAAACTATTATACCGCATCTTGCTGGAGAGACTAAAAGATTCTCTGGAACAGGCTGGCCCCAAGAAGAACAAATCATGTGCAGATCAAATTGCAACGCTACGCATCATCATAGAACAGAGCATAGAATGCCAGTCAACTGGATCTATACCTCAACTCCACCGATTTTGAAAAGGCCTTCAACAGCGTCCACCAAGAAGTGATTTACAAACTGCTTCGACAATATGGAGTACCACAAACCTTTATCAACGTCATTCTACTACTATATGCTATATGGTGCTACATGCCAAGTGATTCACAATAGAAAGCTCAGTGATACCTTTGAAGTGAAGACGGGAGTAAGACAAGGCTGTCTACTATCACCCATGATCTTCCTGATTGTGGTCGACTGGACTGGACAGGGTCATGCAACAAACCGTGAGGAGCGAGAAGATGGGTATACGCTGGCTGGACGGATGAAAAGACCCTTGAAGATTTGTATTTCACCGATGATGATTTGTGTCTAGTGTCGCACAAACTCGAAGATCTACAGGCGAAAACCAACAAGTTGACAGAAGAGGCGAGGCAGCGAAGATGGGACTTCGTTCAGGTGAATGTAGAGAAGAGAGAGGTGATGAAGATACCCAACCAACAACAACAAGCACCACCGATGGGAGAAATCTAAAGGAAATAATCTCTTTCACCTACGTAGGCAGCATCGTTCCAACTACAGGCGGCGACACAGATGAGGGTGTCAAAGCCAGGATCGGAAAGACAGCAAGACAGGTCTTCATTAATCTGAAATCAGCGTGGAGATCTACTGCACTCAGCATGTGGAACAAAATCCGAATTTTCAACACTAAGTCAGTCAAGTCAGTGCTTCTATATGGTTCGGTAACTTGTCACGTTACAAAAAGCATTTCCAACAAACTACAGACATTCATCAACAGCTGCAGCCTACGTTCGATACTGAATATCAGATGGTCAGAAAGAATAAGCAACAAGGAACTCTGGCTGGCTGGCTGGCTGGTAACAAACCAACCAAGAACCCATCGCCCAACAAATATGCAGAAGAAAGTGGAGATAGATTTGATTGGGCATATACTGAAAAGGCTGATTGGGGACATCACGCGCCAGGCCAGTTCGTCGAGTGGAGGCGAAACGGGAAACGACGAGTTGGGTGTCCGAGGTGAGGGTGACATGGAGGAGATGTTGTGAGGAGGAAATGAAAGCTTGTGGGCAGTCGTGGTGCCAGGTTGAAAAGACTGCAGAGAACAGAGTGCAATGGAGGCGTGCCACTGAAGCCCTATGTTCCACTAGGAACCCAAGGGAAAATAATAATTATAATACAGGCAAGGGTGCTGATGATAAACATGTTCATGGGCTACGGTGGTATACGTCCTCATTTGGCCAAAACAGCGAGAGAAGTTATCATCACTATCACTATATGTAGAAAATAATCTGCATAAAATGAGTAAATGTCATTTGAAAAGCTAAAGCGGTTTTCCACTGGTTTATAACTAAGCGAAGGGATTTTGATCATCGATGTCAAAACACGATATACTACTGCACGTGCATCAGTGTTCGGCTTCAGCTGCATTCGAGAAAGCTACAGCAATACAGGACGAGACAAATATAAGATGAAGAGTAAGAGTAACTAGCTGAAATCCTACGTTAAAATAACAGAATACTCATCGACATTTTGTTTTCAGCTTGGAAGTGCTACTGCTGCACTTCTGGAAGGTCTGACAACCATCCTCAGTTAGAAATATTATCCTCATAGTCGGTTTGTTGAGCAATAGCAATGAAAGTTCTGGTTCATGGTTTCATACTAATTTATGTACTTTACCAACCCTGAATACTTGGAATTCCATATCTAATCGTGAGCTGTTGCATTTAAAAATGTTACGGCTAAATCGGGATAAACTTTATGTAACTATTCACACTCAAAAAAAGAAGTCCAAAATGATAATTGTTTGGTGCTTTATGAGCTTTGACGTTTGTTCTTAGACGTTTCGCCAGCATTTACTTTATATGTAAGTAAATGCTAGTGTGACGAAACATCCAAGAACAGACCTCTAAGCTCGGAAACCACAAAACAATTATCATTCTCGTTTTGAGCTACAAATCTTTCCTCTTATTTCAGAAGTCGAATTAATGTCCGACGCGCTCGAAGTTTACAAATACCAGATTTTGCATATCCAATCATGTAAAAGAATACTGAAAACACTACCATATCATCCAGGTAAATGTTACTTGTGATAACCACTTTGACTATTAAGCAACAAGTTTAACAGGAATACATCACTCTGCAGTAAATCCGTTTGAAATCACCAGTGCTAACAAATCCTACTCTAAGTTTACTGTGTACGACAACAATCCCATGTTAATTTATACATTGATTAATATATATGTGTATGTGCATCCGCGTCATGTTTTCTATTAAAATCAACAGAAGGGAGAAAAACTAACCAGTAAAGCTAGTCTTAGTTGTTAACAAAATGCATTCAAGGAAAAATGTCACTAGGTGTTCTGAAGTCAAGTTTTAGATATCTTTGAGTTTTCTGTATTCAGTTAAGTGTCAAAAGAAGCTAGACATGATATTTTAAGATTTCATCTGTGATAGAATTGTCAGGAAAGTTGATGATTCTATCATTAAGGTTGAAAAGAACGATAACACATCAGTTCGTGCGTCTACATGAATTATGCGAATGTGAATATTTAACAACATATTTTCTATGCAAAGGAACTTACAACAATAGGGAAAAAATCCACACCGAAAAGATGATGCATCTGGGCTACTTTAAGATATTGAAGTTCCGCTTTATCTCTAGAAAATTATTTAGTAATTATAAAGAAAGTCATAAAAACAAACCGATTCATTCCCTTATGGGATTTATAGTACTCTCGAAATTTCTGAGTTACGCCTTGCGTAGACTGTATCTGTGTCCAAAGTTGAGCTGGAATTAGTCTGAGGATTCGACGTGGTAAGTAGGTTAATTCTTCTGTGTCACTAAGCTCGTCTTCACAAAGATCACCATACTCTGCCTATAAAAAAATACCAACTTTATAGTACGTTAATTTCCGAAAACTTTATCATCTACATGCGACTGGAAATCACTGCAGTTAGTGTATTACAATGAAATATGAGTGAAGTGGCCGATCCATTTCAGCACTTCACTCCTATTCATCTAAAACGTAGTTTCAGACCAGTTCAGGAGAATCATCTGACATTTCACAGGTCGGAAAACAATGTCAAACATACTCAGACTTATCTTCATCGAGTTCGGAACACCCTGAATTGCGTCAGCGTTTTCACCTAGTGGGGCAATATCGTCTGCATACTCGAAACCAACCAGATGACCTCCAGGAAGTAGGTGAATCCTTATGAAATCACACAAACCTAACGGTATGTCAAGTAGTGCGTCCATGACGACGTCAAGTAGGAGCGCTGACAGCGATATCCCCGGCGAACACCACTAGTTGTCGTCAACCCACATGGCACCTCTCCACAAGCCACGACACCGCAGCATCAGTGTGAGTTAGGAGTTCAGATTGGCGTAATATACTTCTTCAGTACTGGCTTCACAGTCAGATACCGCCACAACACCACATCCCGACCCATAGCTGCTACCTTGACGTGGTGGTTAAGCTTGCATATCAAAATGACCCAACGAGCTATGAGGATGGAATGCTTGTTCCCTCGAGGTCCTATCATGCCAGAAAAATCCGTTAGATAGGGGTAATACAGAAAGCAGTTATCGTTTTTAGTGTAAATTCCTACACTATAGTGAGGGTATGAGGGTGAAGTTGTTCTGTTGCTAGCTGAATGGAGTGTGACAGCAGTAAGGCGCTTCCCTTGGATGACCAACAGTGACATGCTGAATGTGCGCCAAGGATACAAAATGTCTCGTAAGAACTGTGATAGTGAGTATGAAACAAATTGTCAAAAGGTGTGAGAAGAGCTTGTCTCCTTGAAGGAGCTGGTGAAATACAGATTATAGATTCAGGTCGAAGCATACAGGTGTACTATTGTAAGTGCTGTACCCCACACGTATGTAGACAAGGCCGTGAGAATGCTTTAAGAGGTGTCCTTGCTGGCCGGAGTCACATAATGAATGGTTTGAAAATCCCTCCTGAGCATTATATTTGGCATTTGGATATTTTCGATCTCTCTGTAGATGCTTAACTAACTCCTCTCTAAATGCATACTTGGCGTCCTCACCTAGCAATCGAGTACAGATGGACCTCACTGCATCCTGCTTCCTGCGACCAATATGCCACAGAAATACACGAGCCCGTGCTAGTAAGTGATCGGAGTCAAAACTAGTCCTCCAGAAAGAACAGCAATCCTCCACCAATCCTCTCCAACGATGCCTCATGGAAATGTGATCTGCCTGTCTCCATCGTTGGATTGAAGTCGTTGGATGCCATGTGACAGTGTTTTCCCTATGACTCAAGTTAGTCCTGTCCAGGAACAATTAATTGTTGGGGCAAAATTGCAACAGACGATCACCGTTGTCGGTTCCTTCCCATGGGATTCCGTAAATACCACCAAGATGCCTTTTCCGACTCGCCCACCTTCCATACTTGAGTGTTAGAGTCACCTGCCATGATGACTGTGTCTGAACGTTTTACTTTCCATAGCAAAGTTGATAGCTTCTCATAGAACTCATCCTTTGCATCATCCAAACTAAAATCGGTGAGTGCGTAGGCAGAGATTACGAGTAGGCATCGTCTAGTCTCACGATCCCTTCTGGTTCTACAGATCCATTCAGTCGAACAGCACACAGACGGCTGTCTACTGGGGTCCAGTCGAGAAGCACACATTCTCCCCGGCAACTCAATGCTATCCCTATACTAGCGAATCAACGAGAGCTAGCCATTCGGTCGGTCTCCGGATGCTCTCAAGGTGGATTTTGAAGATTCCCTACTATGGCCAGGTGAGGTCGATTTAATAACTACACTCGGACCCTGCATGTTTCTCAGAAACACATCACACATCCACGACTAGACATTCCACAGTTTTGGCAAGTGATGCTTGTTGTCTGATTTGGCATAGAGTTCGGGTGTTGAAAGCTCCTACATGAAGTCGATGGTGGCGTCTTACAAGACTAGGAATGAGGGTTCGATGGCTTTCATCGTTGACAATGGTTGCAGAGTGAGAGCTTGCTGAAGGTGTAAGTAGCTTAATATTGCTATCAGGAGCCGAAGGCAAAGTAGAAGACACAGGGGAGAAGGATAGGTTACGTTTGATTGTGTCTTGCGTACTACTGGAAGCGTGCAAGCGGTTGACACTTCCCGGTTGTCCTCATCGTGGAAAGCTTATTCTTCTTAAGGAATCTGAAAGAGATATGTATGACCGCAGATCCAATGGGGCAACTGCTTGAGGGCTGTCATACACAGCCTTTTGTGGATTGGTGTTTTGAGGTTTCGTTACCATAACACCGAAAAGGGGAAACCCATATCGCCGGCTTCGGAAGACCGTGTGGCAGGTGTGTTGTTTTGGGGGCCAACCTTTTCTAAGCCCTTCCCCCCCCCCACTTCCATTGAGAAGGCAGCGTCAGCGTGGCACTGGTGGTCATCCAAGGGAAACGCCTTACTGTGTCACACTCCATTCAGCTAGCAACAGAACAACTTCACCCTCATACCCTCACTATAGTGTAGGAATTTACACTAAAACGGTAACTGCTTTCTGTATTACCCCTATCTAACGGATTTTTCTGGCACGATAGGACCTCGAGGGAACAAGCGTTCCATCAGCATAGCTCGTTCGGTTATTTTGATATGCAAAGTTAACCACCAAATCGGGTAGCATCTACGGTGGGGCAATATTAAAGAGGAAAAGTGATAGGTAGAATCCTTAATGGACGTTACTGGCCATCGTTCCTTTAGACGGTAACTCTTCGTTATCTCTTGTTTGGTTTCATGAATTCGAAGAGAGAGAGAGAGAGACAGACAGACAGACAGACAGACGGACAGACAGAGACAGAGAGACTTGATCAAGATTAAATAAGTGCTAAGTGGTTCTTTTATCGTCAAACAGTGGCACAACGCTTATCGGTCGTCGGAGTCGAATACTGTTTTCAGTTGAGGAAATATGGCAGCGGTAACTATGTCTGTGCTTCAAACTTTCGAAGAGTGAGGGGTTCATCAACGCCACCTCGTTCACGTCTGCAACCTACCTGGTTTTATAGACTTAGTTGTTCTCGATGTTCTATTAGGCGTTGTATATTAGTAATTATGTTGTTGTCTTCTGTAGTAACGACAGTCAGTAGTGGCTACCAAGAACGTTCGCCATCAACTATTCTTATTCAACTTTAGCGTAGATGTACTGAAGGGCTTGGAGCTTCTGATGTCACAAGGACTTACTATCGGGAGGACTACCAGTTGATTTGTATCACGCAGACGACATAGTCCTGTTCGGAGCAGATGCCGACGAAGTCCAGCGTTCTCAAAGTCCTGAACAGAATTCTCAGTATCTTTGACGTACGTCTCGCACCTGTCAACTGTAAAATGATGCTTCAACATTGATCTGCAGCTACCCCTAGCTTAAACATAGGGAGTGAAGTGATAGCGTAAATTGACCACTTCACCTACTTTGGAAGTTGCATCAGCACAAGCACGTGTTCTACAAGAAGTGGCAATCATCCACCAACCCTCTCCTACAATAACTGATAGCGATATGATCCATTCGTGTTCACTGATAAGTTGCAGCAAGTGGAAGCCATGGAAAACAAACTCTCTCTCTCTCTCTCCCCACTCCTGAAGGTCGTCCTGGTCATAAATACATGACTGTTACAACACAGTTATACTAGAAGATCACCGTTTTCTCTCCTTTCGGTTGCGATCTCGGTAGTGCTACATGAGCCACCTTCTGTCCGACTTCGTATATCTACTCATGTATCGAAATCACCTGCTACAAAAAACACACCTAGATGTTGAGCTTTCAGTAGAAGGCTAGACAGTTTTCTGCAGAACACATCCTTCACTTCATACAAACTACAGTCAGTCAGTGACTATCCAGAGAATACAGACAGACAGCACAGCAGTGTCCCACTTTTCTTCCCAGTCCTCAATTCATCATTCAATAAAACACCACACAGACGACCATCAGCTGGAGTCCTCTCCAGCAGTGCATTTACCATCTCAAGACTATTCTATACCCACACTTCCAAGACCACAAAAGCCAGTCATCAATCAACTCAACAGAAACTTGATGGATGAATTTCGCTACCTCACCATATTTATATCGGTCAAGTGAAGTTAGGCGAATAACTGAATTTAAGTTCTATATGCAAGCCTAACAAACACAGGACACACCCATGGCCAGAATTCTGGCTGGCGAAGCTTGCTGGTCGATTTGACAGATGATGCAGACATTGGAATCTCCATTATGTAGTTTGGAGTGTGGTTTCAGGAGGCCACACATGCTATTTCATGAACTCGAATCGTTATCAGGAGTTGTGTAGAGAGAAAAAAATGAAGACGATGTAGAAATATCGACCGACGGATATGAGGAAAGTTTAAAAGGTAAATATGTCTGAAGGTTGGTAGTTATCTGAGGGAGCTTGAGTGCTAACAGAGTTGTAGGGGCACCTGACACTTCCCGGCTGTTTACACCGTCGAAGTTTAGTAGATTTTTGGGCTACAAGAAAGAGAAACTGGATTAATTTTGCGTGATCGCGGAACCAGAGAGGCAGGTCGGTTGTACACTTGAAATCTGAGACTCAGTTTTGATCATGCTAATGTCGGTATAGAAACCTATATTACGGGCAGTAGAGAACTTTCGCATCAGAAGGGGCATGTTACTTTTAGTACCAAATAATCGTACGCTTTAGTTTCCACAGGGAAAGCAGTATGAGCACGGTCATCTGCGGAAAATATATCGCTGCTGTCATACGCCATCCAGCCAGCTTTACGCCCTTGGCTACAGACCGTCATTATAGCATATCCATATCGCTTTTTTACCTCTATCCAATAGATATTTATGGGATAGTAAAACCCCAAAGAACAAGTGTTCCCATCAGCATAGCTCGTTAGATAACTATGGTGTGAGGCCAGCCATCATTTTAAGATTAGCAGCTATCGACCGAAAAAATTTCAAAAGGCGTGTACTTTCTCCTAACAGATGAATCGGTTGTTTTATTTTAACTGGGAAATAACTGGGAAATATTAGACAGGACCCTTGGATTGTATAATTTGCATACATTAACTGATTAGTTATTCCCTTGCTTATGAAATTGTGATCTAAATGCTTAACTTCACCACTATCTGAAGAAATTTGTATACAAGTTATTTTTATCGCACAACTGTGACTATGCTATCTTTCATTTGCTTGATCATGTATGACAGCAAAAATTAAACTGATTTGATGCAACTACAGATCGCACATAAAATTGATTCAGTTAACCTAAGTGAGTACCATGAAACGGCGAAAAGAGCCTCAACACACGAAAACATAGAGCATTAAAATGTAGGTATTATTTGTATATATTTCTTTTGAAATATTGGAACCAAAATAATCATCAGTCTATGTAATATAATGCAAGCACTTTTTTTCTACATGACTTAAAAACATGAAACTAACCTGTGAGGCTAGTGAAGCGAGTAAAATGGCCACATCTAGGGATGGACAAAGATCGCCTGAATATAAAGAAAGATATAGTGATAAAATTCAACTACATTCTGGACAAATAAAAAATGTTAGCACTTTAATGAAATGCTCATTAGGCTAATAGTTCAACTAAATGAATGCCATAATTTTTATCGAATCTGTGATGCCGCTTATGCCCGTAAACGCTGTGAATTATTCAAAGAATTCGACGAATTTCCAGAAGGGAAGGTACTTCATTAATTATCACCAAAGATGATAAATAGGATACTTAAAAAGGTACGTTGAGAGGAAATGAAGCAAACAGAAGTCCACTAAGCTTCTTATACTGAAATGAATTTTTCCTCGCTATCCAATCCATATCTGTGCCCAGATAGTATACAATTTTAGAAAGAATGGGATGCCATCAAGGATTTTGTTTACAAACAGCATTGCATAGACTATTTTATTGATATTGTCATAAATAATGCTGCGATTTAACCTCGGTTCACAGCAAGACCAATGAATGTAATCATTTTAGGTATTTCATCGCAAGCTCTTATGACACCGCATACATTTGAGTAGCATAGATTCAGTAATATGCTATGCTTACCACACCTGCTATAGGTGTGACACTACAACAAGACTCTTCGATTTACAAATGTTATCATATAATTCAGATGAATATATACTGTTAGTATTGAGTAATACGTCTGTGTTCCAAAACCTGACGAGTGGAGGAGGAATCTGCTCGATGCAACTATGATTGTACCAGAATCCAGTCTGGTTAACCTCGATTTTCAGTCTCCGCATCCCAATTGTTTGTTATATGATTGCAGATTATGGGCTGTTCGATAGTTTAGTGGTCAGGTTAGCTTACTTAAAACTACCAGATGCGGTTACCATTCCTCCTCATAAGTTAGAATTATTAATAATGGAGACTGGTACGATGGATCAACACCTGATTCCTAAACCATACTTGGGAATCTTCGGCGACCTGTTAATTGTAGCAGTTTTGGGTTTGAGATAACTTTTGCAACACTGGTTAAGGTTGAATTGTCGACGTTAATGTCTTACACAGACGTTGGATACTGCACAACTTAAGGTCCGTCGAACCATTAGTGAAAGTAATGTATTTGTTACTTCAACGACTGCAAGAAAGTACTACTTATCTACCATCGATGGATTTTGCTGGTTACCACTTATCGCTGCAGTTTCCACAATGATTTTAATGTACGTAATAATCTACAGAAACCGTCTCTTATCTACACTTCCACAGCTGTAACTCATGGTCATCAACTAGACTAGTGTAGGTAATGAAATAAGTTGTTTTCTCTTCTTTCATATATTTTGCTCGATAATACGGAATTTCGTGCACTATTACTCCTGTTTTGCAACAGAACGGATACGAATAGAAGCTATCTCAAGATTTATAAAATGCTTTTATTTTCCGCTAACTGTGAAATCAGATCCTTACTATACAAAAGAATTGCAATATAGACCATGGCTTGATTTACTTATCAAATAGTAGCCTATTTAGCTGCAGAAACAATAGATCAAGCAGAATCAAGGGTCCACTCTAAGGGTAATAACTGGTGAGAACACCTGTCGACGTCTCCAAATCAAGAGATTTCTACTTATTTCTTGTCCCCATGAACAAATGGTCAATATCATTCATACGCAAAACTGGTACTCAAGAAGTATCAACTGAGTAGCCTTTTTACTAACTTAACGAATGAGGAAGTTTACAATGAATAATTCACGAAATCAATAGACAAATCTTTAGAACACTAATATTGGCACCTATGAACTTCGCATAAGAAAAAGCAGTTCAAATTATAAAAGTGAGTGTTGAACAGATCACCTACTTGAAAAGTCAGATCAGTCTTATTAGGTCAGTGAAATTTCAGCACAGATTCAAAAATCTTTGCCAAATCACGCCACTTGTAACGCCGGCTAGATATCCGACTACCCACTGAGGATCCAGTGTTCTGCGAAATATTTTTCTTGATCCTACTATATGATTTCGAAACATGACCACTAGAGCTGAATGATATAAGAAGGTTCTAGATGTTCTATCACCATTGCTCTTTTAGCGCTGGCCATGTGTTGAGGAACTAATATCTGCGTGATTCGGAGGTTAGGTGATGGAACTTCGGTTAAAGAACTGAGATGATGATGTACAGCTTTACCAACTGTGACAGCTGGGGTCAATTTTACGCTTGGTGAATTATCACTATTTGATATGAGGTATGGCAACTTGGACCGTTGTACAGTAATGCCTGATCCTATGTTGATATTGATGATAACGATAAGGCAAGTTGAATGAAGTACGGTCAGGTTAGAAAAACTAGAAGTGACATTAATCCATGAAGCTTCTGACTGATGGCCTGAGTTACGTAATGTAGTCTTCCAGGTTTTGATCGACCTGAGGACCGAAGTGGATGAGTAGGGACTCTATATGGCATAGATCAGAATCGGTCTCAGTGGAACAAAGATTCAACCACACACGATATTCATCCTAACCATCACATCAAATTTCGTTGCTTGCTTTGGCTTATCCTTTTCCGTTCTTATGGCTATCGATGAGTTGAATCAAATCATTTGCATCTCCGCCTTTCGTCTTGGTGTTTTATTTCTTGATGTGGTGACGTGAGGTGTGGCGACCTAAACCATTACGCAGCAGTACTAGGTTCTCTGTTGATATTGATTGAATTGGCTGATAAGTAGACTAATTATGAGATAATTAATTACACAGTAGAAAACTTTACATGCTGTGATAGAGGTTTGCACCAAACTTAATTTAGATCATAGAAATAAAAAGATTTACATCCACAAGTTCAAGCTACAACCTACCGAAGCAATTTCCATTCATATTAGATTCGCTTCTATTCAAAATCGTAGCTTTAACGCTCAAGTAGAATAAACGACGAGTTGTCGCCTGAATCAGTTCCTGTTCAACATCTTCAGGGAAGAATTTTGTATGAAAGAAAAAACAAAGAGGTTTCGAGACATCCTCTGGTTTCTGCGAAATAATCTAAAAATCAGTAATTGGAAAAAGAACTGATAGGATACCTTTTTATCTAGTTTCAGCCAGTGCGAAAGCCGCATTTTCCCATTTGGAAAGAAGCTATAAAACTGTAGTCCGAAATACCATGTTTCCCTCAGTCCAATCGTACTGCAAACAAGATCAAAAAGGTATTTTCCTGTGCTTTTGGGCTATAAAGAGAATAATAATGACAACGAAAAACGTACCGATATATTAAATTCCAGTTCTGATTCATGTAGAGTTACCTTATTTTAAGTATTTAGAATCCGAATTATTCCACCTCATTGAATGCTAAAACTTATCGTTGCAATACTAAATAAATAAAATCCGTTGGAATCTCAAGGAACCTTTATGACACGGTTGCAACGGGATTGTACGGTATGAATGGAACTGGAATTGGAAAAATGAAGAGAATGCGTGGAGTAGTGTGTAAATCAACTTTTGAATGCATTTTATAGTAATTATGTGTTAAAGACGTTCATTGATAAGTGATCCTAATAACAGTGACAAATAAATTTTCAAAAACTGTTCCCCGCGTTGTAAAATAAACCCAGTGAATTTTGACATAACAGATGGATATTTATCCAAAAACGACCTTCTTGATGTTATACAGAAACAAAATGACCCAGATGTTTTTGAATTAGATTTCCTTTGAAACTCTAAGCATCTTCATTTAGCATTTTTATAACGACTTCTAATTGCAAGCATTGTCTTCACGCTTTATCTCGGAATGGCAGCCTACTCATTCACGAAAATTTATGATGTGAAAACATAAGAATTGTTGCATACACTACAGTATGATAAGAATCTACATAGGTGCTAAAGAAACATTAGCATTTTAATGCACATAAACCGTCGGTTGTTAATTGCATTACGATACATCTGAGTTGGTAAAGAACCTGACAGTTGGTAGTGGATTTTTTCTTATTTTCCGCTTCTTGCTTCCATTAGAAACTAGCCTAAAATTACACAAGCAGTTTTTAAAGGAAACATCATAGTCGTACTGTGAATTCGGCTTCAATACTGACTTCAGCATATTAACTAAACGTGATTCCTATAGTATAGCATCAAAAAATAAGTGCACATAAAATACGCTTTTAAAGTCGACAAGTACAGAAATTATTCACGGCACAACAATGATATTTCGGATATAGGTGTTCGGCGTACAAAACCCATCAATATTGAGTTTTACTAGCATCATTAATACACCTACATGTTCAGTTGCAAAAAGAATGAAAGTTGAAAGCCTCAAGAATGGCTGAAGTGGTTAGTGCGAAGGATAAATCCAGAAACGTAAATGAGAACTATTTAAACAGACTGAAGATTTAAACGATACCAGGTTTCTTAAGGAAAATATAGCTATAAGAATACAATTCACATGAAATTGAAATCAGTTGACGCTTGAGATACTATGCGAACTGTACGGAGTTGATTATCTTAAATGAACGCATAAACACCTTGATTCTATAGGTCGAATGGTAAAACAGAGGACCGATATCACACATCGTATACTCACGACATAAAGTGAGCAGTACAGGTTAACATGCTACTCATCTCTTTAAGATACTGAAGTAGACGTACCATTGATTTGCAATCAGACGAGAAAGTTGGCTCAAACGCGGTTACTCACTTTTGTGAGTAAATTCCCCATTATCTCAATAGAACTTTTCCTCATCTTAACAACGCTATACCGAATCTCACCATTTTGTCACTCCTCTTTCCTTTCTTTTCGTACTTTATATTTCTTTTGACTGCATTCACTTATCTTCATCCTTCGCCTCACTACCTTTTTACTTGATGTGCTGATATGAGGTGTGGCAACTCGGACCGTTACGCAGTAATGCCTGGTCCTATGTTGATAATGATGATGATGATCTGTCAGAAGCTGGATAACATGTTACGAAGTAAAACAACTACACACACTTTTGCTTTTATTAAAACATCTGAGAACAATGGACAATTAATATTGACCGCTAAGTGCAACTATCTAATAACAACCTATTTTCTTATTCCTAAACTTCAACTGACAATATGTATATCATGTTGCAGTTACCTCAGCAGGAAACTTAGCCGACTTACTTAGTAATCTATGACTAACCCAAAATTGTTCAATGTGGTTCCATCACACGCCAGCAATGTTACGAAGACACATTATCGAAATCTTTCACTCATGTTTTCTGCCTCCGAAGTTCATGTCTTACAGCTATCACAGACGGGAAAAGTTAGCAAATTTCAAAAAGGCACTTTGTTTTGGCTTTCAGGATTTGTTAGCAACCAGTCCATTAGAGCTGGTTGAACTTCACAAATAAGCAAGGTGGTCAATGCACTCGTCTACTTTGCTGTTTTTATGCTAAGAACCGATGTAGATCAGTCTAGTCACATTCTTACTTTGATATCCCACACAGCATTTAGATTCAGCATTTATGGATTGCAACGACGCAGCACTGTACCAATCCACAAATAACCATATACTCGGTTAAATTCGCCGTGATATTCGAACGTTATCTTTAGAGAAGTGTAACTACATACATGACAAGAAGTATACCCAACAGGCTTAAAATACTTCAGCCTGACCCACAGAACAATGCAGCTAGTAAAAAGTTCATCCTCTAATTGTAGTCAACCAAGTTTCATTTTTGTTCTCTTTCTGCAAACAGATAACAACTGTAGGTAATATGACCTCTCAGCTAGTCTGTGGTACTGCATAAGTAGCATATATGCCAAATGAGTATCTTCAGTACCATTTGGACAGCAACGGTTACTGCTGGCTGCGGTAGACAGGTTTAGGTAGTAAATGAAATTTTCCTATGTAAGCTGCAGTTGACTTTGATACTTCAAACTTAATACCATTTTCTGTTCTAACAATCAGTAATAATAGCATAGCACACTTTAGACCATGACAGTGAAAAAGATATGTTGCAAACGCTGCCATGAAGCAACTCTGCGTTTTTAAAGTTTTCATTTCGATCTTAACCCTTTTATTGTGAACCCCTCCAGATTGATCACTCTCCGTGATTTCGCTATATCCTATTCTGACACTGCAGAACTTCTAATTATGTAAGCATTTTCTCAACCATTTAAGTCCCAGTGGTCTTTCACACTTCGTAAATTCAGTGCTCACTGGATTAACCTGGAACTGGTTTTAGATCATTTTGTTCAGCACAGAAAATTACTAGTATTTAAGGCAGCAGGACCATAACGTGGGAAGTCGAAAACCTGGTTTGAATTTCCTTTTCACACTTCCTTCACACTTCAAATTGTGACGTGAAATGTCTCACTACACAATCATCCACTCTAAATGAGCCCATTTAGGTGAAAATGAAAAAGCGATTTGAGCTTTATCGACAAGCAACTTGGTGCGACGTGCCAACAAACAAAGGTGTTTAGCTTCGAAGTAAACACTGTAAACAGAGACGTCAACCATACCAAAAAAAATAGTCGGTGTTAGCGTGAACTATTTTACTACATAACTTACACGGTCTATCTACTCAGCCTAAAATTAATATGTCTACCCTTTGAATAAGACTGCTGTTATATAATACATAGCATGCATAACACCCTGAAAGACGTTTACGGTTTCTTATATATTGGAACTAAATCCTCGAATTCACCTCCAAAACGAACAAAATTCCAGTTATTCAGCAAAGCACTAACTGTAGCCCGAATCTAAGTGGCAACCATGGACATTAAATAGGGAATACCACTTGAAGCATTTAGGCATAAGAACTAAGTATGCATATCGATAGAGTCCTTCCCGTAAATGAAGAAATTTCGTGGCATCTGTAACATACATTCGCTTATTTTGATCAACCACTTTAAGATATCGCTTTCGTAACACCAACAATCTCCGTACAAAGACTGATATTTACCTTCTTTTCAAAGGCTCCCATATTCTTGTCTCAAAAATAATTAAATTTCGCCTCCGAGTAAGCTCTGGTGGAATTATTTTCCTCTGTTTCGCTTGACATTTCCTACAGCCTGCATATTAGTAAATATATTACATAATTCCATTCCCTTACAAATGGACGAATCAACCAAGACAACCGACATCTACTTTTGCTAGCATTATTCATGCGTTGTGGATTTATCGTTCGTACAGCCTTAGATTAGTATTATCTGACGAGAATCTAATATGGTAGGTTTATTTGCACAAGACTTCGCATAATATTTACCGTGACCATATCTTTAAAGTCAGTATGCATCTATAGGTTTAAGAACAAAAACATTACTATGCTTACGCTCTACAAGTGGCGTGAGGCCCTCCCATCCTGTCTAAGTACTCACAAACATGCATATATTTATAGCCTATGCCGAGGAATCCAAATTCACTGCCATAGCGCGGTGAACGTGTTCCTATAAATACAGGTAGGTTAAAGCGAATTTGCATTGAACCGATAGATACAAAAGCCTCACAGAGAGGAATCATAAAACTATGGTTCCAAGTCCTTTTTCTCAATGGGTTCTGAGATCTGGAACGAAGGAATGGCGTAAAAATATATCTTGGTCACCAGACACCAATTAAAAATACAATCCTGGCATTACTTTCTTGAGTTATTGACCGTACTTTGAAAAACTGGTAGTTACCTCTTGAACAGCCATCTGGTTTAGTTTGTGCCCTCAAGCTATATCTTAGCCTTCATGCAACACATGAAGATGTAACACTGAAATGCAGACTCCCTAACGCTCACGTAAATCCTTTTCGATGTCATTACAAAACACTTATCCACCAATACAACTGTTATGTTCCCGAATTTTTGCTTAGCCAGGTTGCCCCATTGTGCCACATGTACCTCAGATTCCCCGGCTATTTCATTCAACCACACGTTTTGGGATCTGGATCAGTACATGTGGTTTGGAGTACATAAACAGTAGATCTCTTAAGACCATCCCTCAGTGACAATCTACCCAATTATCGTGCCAGCTGCTATAAGATGACCCCTTCACCGATAAATATAGCTAGTCGTCATGTTGAACTGACGATTAATAGTGCATGCTGTAAGACTGGTGAATTCACTCTTCGCTATGAGCCAGTAAGTCCTGACAGCTTGCCTGAAGTCACTTG